TCGACACGTCTTAAAGCTGCTGAGGTTAAGAAATACTGTATTAGGGGAAGTCCAATATGATATTCCCTTCTAAGCTGAACTAGAAACTTCTGCTGGAAAATATTCATATATACTGTACTATTAAATATACACATACCGCAGAGGCACAAAAAAAACCCCAACCCCAGATTGTTTCTGTTTTTAATTTTTTAATATATATTTTTATAAACAGGTCACATGATAAAATAGCACAAGAAACACTTACCAAATATAAGGTTATATCTTCAGAATATACAGGAGAAGGAGGCTTGTATGTACAATAAGAAAATGGTTTTCAGAATTTTTTTTCTCCCCCCCCCCTTTTTTTAATAGCAATTTGAAATATCACAGCTTCTTTCAGTAGCTTTAAATAATACTTTGGACCAGCAGACACTTTAAGCAGGGGTGCTAAAGAGACTTCTGGAGCACAATTCTCGGCAAAGGTCTCTTGTGCAAGACTGGCTGAAATGGAAAGGAGCTCCTGTTTGGGCCAGGAGGGCCTGCACAGAGAAAAATAAAATAAAAATTAAAAGACCCCAATGAATTGTGCCCTATCTTTGGACCAGGATCTTTGTGGAACTCTTGTGGCGAATGGAGTCACCTCCCTGGAACAGGATGAATTCTTTCTTTTAGAAAACCGAAAATATAAGTCCGCTTCTCTATATAAATAAAAACAGCTTCTGTGACTTGAAAAAGTTTGAAAACTCTTGCACGAGTGGACCAGCTATTGTAATATCATTGCTGCTGCAGTTACTATTTTTGCAGCTGGCTGACCACACACGTGGGCCACAAATAGGTAACATCCTACGGTGGATGAGTGGCAATGCAGGGGGATTATTCCCCCAAATGTAAGACTGCAGTTGTATATCTCTTTACTCGGGCATCCGGTCCATCAAATAAGTGTAAATTGGTGGCTAGAATGCTGTACAAGAAGGTGAAAGCAAGAAAAGCCAGAACTCTTTGCCTGGCTTTATACGGTACAGGTAGTCCTTGTTCAGTGACTGCCTCATTTAGTGACCGTTCACAGTTACAACGGTGATGAAAAAGTAACTTTATGGCCAATCCTCGCATGTATGACCTTCACAGGTCTGTAAAGCAAAGGAAAGCTGAAGTAAGATCAGCAGAGTCAAGGTTTCACTTAGTGACCACTTCACTTAATGACTGAGTTGCCAGTCCCAATTGTGGTCGCTGAATGAGGGCTACCTGTATGCTAAGCTACTTCCCTCAGAGCCACTCTGCTGCTTTTTGCGTGTCAAGCATTTTGAGTGTGAGACATTCCAGATTCAAATGCTTTGAGGGCACAACAGGCTCTTTCAGGCCTTTGGGAGGCATGGCAACCTTAAAATGGAGTTGAAACCACGCCAAAATGTCGGAAGCAGCTGTGGGGTGCCCAAAATAGGATATGTTGAATTCGAGAAGTTTGGCACACCCCTTTCCCGTCACTGGTGCCTGATCTTTTTGCACAGAGATGCAGAGGATTGAG